AACATGATATCTGGAAATTGTGCATGGGAACTCAAATAAGAACAGAAAGAATCCGACTTCTGGTAAAAAAGAGTGACGTCAGTGAACAATCAAAGCGCCAAAATCACCAGACCTTTTCAAAATCCGCCACACCTCTTCAGAAGCGTAAAAATAGTAAGTAAAGTAAGTACGTAAAAGTAAAAGCATTAGACTATGTACTCAGTAGGCTATGCAGTGAATTGCAGAAAGCATCATCAGTTCTTAAGATCGATGCTATCGCAGGATAGAGGGGCATGCTCTAGGAAGTAGCATAGGAAGGGGCAGGAACTTCGGGAAAATGACACTCGTTCAAGCACCTTGAAGCCTCCCTTACCTCTCCTCTACTAAGGTATGTCCCGCTCGAACAAAAAGGAGATGCCTTACGTGATTTCAAATGCATTGCCAGCCCGATGCTTTGGTGTCTTGGGATAGCGCCTTAAGGCCTCCAATTTGTATAAGGCGCAGTCCTAGCCAGGATGGTATCTGCCGCCTATGGTGATTTGGAACGTTAGAATTACCGGGACCGGACTGAATTCTGGAGAATATTTGCGGGAATTTTCGAAAGTGTCTTCAATGAGTTGTCTCTTCTGGAAGGGCCGAACTGGAGCAGATAATCACCTAGAAAAAACATGTCTAACATCCTAAAGAATCAGCTCCATGTCCGCAAATAATTTTTGCAGATAGAATGAATTTAATCAACTGCCAAGATCTAACACCAGCGAAAATTCTACCCACTTAGAGAACGCTCCGCCCACTGCGAGTAGAGGTTTCCCTGAGCGTTGCACCTCGGTGTACACGGCCACTCTTTTCCCGATCTCTGGGCTATCCTAGATTCGTGTGGAACATTACATCACTATTCTTAAAGATTGTTCTTGAATCATGAAACAAATCGCTCTTGGATAAGTGCCAATGGCGTCAGACAATTTGGACATGTTATGCGATTCGTCAATGACCGTTGGGTGAGAGCCGTCAAAGAATGGGATCCCCAGGGAATTCCAACGAACGGCAGGTTGTCAAGGGTTTGACAATTGGACGCTTTCCAATCCTTTCGCGCAATTAGTGTACATAGCTCATGGAATATAATGGGCTTCCTGGAGTGAAGGACAAAACAGTGCGACTAGCCAGCACCTACCCAACGGGCGCACTGGAGCAGTTCACTTGGTTCACTTGAAGCAACACTCCAGCAGAAGCCTTGTCAATCAACCAATTTAGGGTCTTACAACGACGAGTAGCTTGAAACGTTGATCAAAAATGAGTTCCACATCATTCGGGACCTCCTTCGAGTAGATGAGCGTCATTCTCTTATTGGACTTATTATCGCAGCTAATATTTGATAAGAATATACCGTTGCCCTTAGCAGTAGCAAAAAGTCCAATCTTAGGGAATTACGTCGACCATGTTTCACAATGATGTCCTACGAAAGGTCCCCTGCTATTGAAAGGCTGTGGAGATATGAAGCCTTGATTGGCTTCTTGGCAGCAAGCAAAGTAGTATGATCCCCTTCAAACTTTCCTTTGACCAACGTTGTGATTCCTTTTTTAGACGCTTATGTCGTTTGGAGGGTGGGAAGAGGGGGAACATTCAACGTGAGTGAACCACTAAGAGCACTAGAATTAGACCTCGAGGGAGACTCGGAAGACGTGAGAGAATGTTTCTCTCTAGCTTTGCTCCCCTATCTAAGCTTACCATTAGTCCTATGTCACCCACCACGACCCTGTTTTTGAAGCCCCACCACCCAGACCATGACGCCTCGTTCTAGTAGCGCAGGAAAAGCATAAAGAGGAATTTCATGCCTTTGACTGCCCCAAGATCTAGTGGGTGAGCAATGTCAGTGAGCAGAGATTACGTTTGCATGCTAATGAATCCTTTCTCTGACAAGGCCCGTGCTTGTTACAGCCCATAGCGCCATAGTGTGATGCTCTCTTTATCAAATGTAGGCCTCAACAACAGGTGCAATAAGGAAGCATCGTCCACTCAAAAAGTGATATTCGAGGGTGCATATTTATTTATTTATTCATTTGTTTATACACTCGCCTGAATGCGCCATTAGGAGAATAGGGCCAGGGATCGAACTACAGAAGAACTCAAACAAAATCAAACAAAACTAATATAAATATCAATTAAAAATAGGAGGATTTCTCGCAATCTCAAGGGGCTGAATGCCAACAGTCTCATTTGGTGGAATTAATATCTCCGAATAAACCACATGTCAACAGCCATCTTAGATTTTTTAAATAATTTTTCAAACCCCGGTTCGAGCCGAGGGTGACATTTTTGTGTGTGTCAAAAACACTTCGTTAATAACTGATGCAAATTTGGAAACGATTCGGCGACTTTGCGGGAACAAATTCTCAAAAAACCGTCTATTAATAAAATTCTGGCCACTACTGTATTTGCCACCCTGCGTGTTAGCAGCGCCCTTGCCCTCACGCCCTGGGTTGGTTTAGCTATAACGAGAACCACAATATATCTCATGAAAAATTTATTCCACTACAATTACTTCGACACAGCAAATTAATATTATAAACCCTACTGAGGCACGATTCGAAACGAGGAAAATGATCGGAAGGTCAAATCGCTGTTCATCTCCATCTCTTATTTGTTTAAGTAAACCTAGGTTATTCCAGCCTTCTAGAGTCCTTCTTACGGATAAAAAATGAATCCGTGCTAGTGCTGAACTTCTTTGCACGACTTAAATCCCATCCAAACGTCACTACGATTCTAAACAGAATCCCGATGCGTGGCGCATCCAAAACTACTGATCAGCCCCGGTTATCTTAATCTTACTCTAACAGCTTATTTTGTCAGGTTTTCACTAGGAGCATCAATTCAGTATCTATGAACTTGGATGCAAAATTTACCAAAGGTTATATTTTCGAAGGGGGGGGGGTGTATCGAGGCGGAGAACGGACGGCGGGGTTTAGTTTTCTTCAGCTTTCTCTCAGAGCTGATGTGAGTTCAGAATATTCTTTCCTTTTCAATGGAAGTAGTGAGGGTACAATATTTTCATGAGATTTTGGAAATATTTGCATTGCAGTAACCTATGCCAGCTGAGTGAACCTGAAGGCTTAACGGGCCTTTCTTGCATTTTCCATATTTTTTCCAGCAACATGGTGTAAAAATTTTTATCATAGGTAAAAATACAAAGAAAACCCACGATATGAAATTCGGCCATCACGTGTTGCGACAGAGTGGACGATAGGAGCGACTCGCCGTAACAGTGTGTTGATGTCCTGTGATATGGCGATCGACGGCATTTCAACGATACCCGCTACTATCACTAAGGTCGACTCGATCAGTCGACTACCACAAAAATCGATAGTTCACCTCTGAAGGTGAAAAATTAGGTAACAATTCTAGCAGTGCCACAACTTTGACTTGAAATCCGCCTATGAAACTGTTTTATCCTGTTTATTTACAAGAACTGCATTCTGTGAAGTCTTAAAAAGTTCAATCCCATAAACCCAGTGGTACTCTCTCTTCTGAGGAACTTGCTTCCCAACAATCCTTGCTTGGGAACCACTGAAAAGTAGGCCTCAGCAGCCAAGCCATTAAGAACGGATCAGAACAGAAGTGAACTCAAGTAACGCCCAATCAAACCGTCACAGTTGCTTTCAGTACTACAGGATGCCAGTTTCAAAAATTTTTGGCTGTCTATATAGGAAAGGCGTGATCTACAGTTCATTCGTATTCTAGGACTAGACTGCGAGGACCAAGAAACTGATATTCGTCGCTTGAATAGGTAGCTTAATGAGTAAGGGTAGATGGTGGTCAGTGACAAGAATGAGAAAGAAACTATAAAGCCGAGGCCGAAAAGGGAGATCCCCTGTCTGGTGTATTTTCGCATCGATACGACTCTCAGCGATGCTGCCCTCTTCAAGGCTAACGCTCTCTGCCGCGTATAGACCAGCGGCAAGTGACGGGATAGTCGATGGGCGTTCCGGGCCAGTTGCGCCAAAGGAAGGTCATGCTAGATCGCCGGGATATCTTCCATACGATTGTACGTGTTGGTTCACACCATTCGGGGTGTTGCACCACCCTTCACTATGTAAGTTTTCGCCTGTTCGACCATTTCTCATCGTTTGGAATCCTCTGCCCAAGTTCAATATTGGCGTGAACGAATTTTCGCTTTGCCATTTTACTTTCCATATGCTCTAAAATTTCACCTGGTACTAGAAGGGCTTTAACCAGAGTGCGCTACTTTCCGAGGATATTGAGGCCAATATTTCTACCCATATCCACGATCACAACGTTTTTCCATATTCCCCACGACCACGTAACACCTTTTCCTCCAGCTCTCTCTCTCAAGGGCGGGATAATGTCAATGAAAAGTTGGGACAGAGCACAAAAACTTTTGATTAAAGATTTTTTTGAGATCATTTTTCTTAGGATATTAGGATATGTATTCCACTATCCATTACAAAGTCTGATGTGATTTCACCTATAGAGTGAATGCGGACCACCCAAGCGTATTTGCTAATCAGCTCTTATCCTGCTAAACCCCAATTTTTTAACGATAACGTGCATAGCCATGCTGAGATATTTGAACAGCCAAACCAGCTATGCCTGGTGACGATCACTCAGAGGGAAGACTTACACTTACATTAGGTGAGTTCCCAGCTGAAACCAACCGCTACCCGCTCAACTAACTGTAACATAAACTGTTGATTCCGTTTGAGCTCGAGATCGTACGAAGTCTCCTCTTGACTTTTAAAATGTGAGAACAATAAGTGTCATAATTTTATGAATTTTAAGGTCAAACATCTCCGAATGAAAAAATTGTATTTCGGTCAAGTAAGATAACGTAAATCTCATTTAATTCCTAGCACATCGTTTCCCAAGCGAACAACACAACAGCTTCCTGCGAGCTCAGTACACCAGAACAACAAACGAAATGTGACAACAAGTGTAACAAGAAGGAAGAAGAACAATTCGAACCATACCAAAACAACTAGCTATTGAAATACCACCGAATATCCAAATTAGAAACGCGACTTTTGCGATTCCCGACGCCTTTGCGATGTACCGCTTTGAGCAGCAGTCGCTCCAGTTCCTCCCCAAGCGCGTTTGCTGTGGCTGTCTGACTGGCCCGCGCGTCGGTCGCCCTGAAATTCGGTCAGTAGCATATCCAACAAAATAAGTTGCTTCTAAAAAATCACCAAAGTTGGTTCTTTGTTTCTGGAACAAGATGAGAAAGAAATCCACACTCATTTTCATTCATTATGAGAGGAAGAAAATTTTGATTCCATGAATGAATGAATTCCAGAAAAGCAAAACGATCACAAAAAAGAATTCTTTCACGATCACGATGATTTTTCTGAATATTTCTATTAATTATGTCATTGTTGCCTAACATTTGCTTGTAAGTTCCAGGGATATCGAGCAACATATTTTTTAAATCTTTTTGTTGCAAAGGCCATACACTTAAGGACTAGTAAAAAAATTCTGCAATAACTGGTAATAACTTTGCACCAGAAAAATGTAGTCTGCAATCACGTTATCACCTCTATATCAAAAAACATACCTGATAAGCACCTCCGCGATCACCTTTTTGTTTATCACCCTGGCGATCACTACGGCCTGGGAACCATTGACCTGGACCAGCATAACCGGCTCTTCCTGTGCGAGGCTCCAAAATCTGAAAAAAATCGACAACTACTAATAAAATCTTTAAAGATTTGAATATGGTCATACACTGCCACTGAAAAAGAAAAATTAAATGAAAAAGATGATTCATTATAGTGAAGTTCGGTCCGCCTTACTCAATTCAGAGGATTCAGAGTTGGCAACAAAAGAAACGAAGTTAGAACAAATTGAAACCAGAAAACTGAAACAAACTTGCCTCTTTTTATCTGCTAATTGTTGTAGTTTGTCAGTAAAGTTCAAAGCAATCATCTGAAGACGTGAAGGCTCCACACGGTGCATCATAAGACAATCCGTTGGCTCATCAAGAGTGGCCGATAGTTCTTCTTGGATGATCATCTTGCTGCAACAATCATATTAAGCTTCGAAAAAAGTATACATAACCTTTTTATGGGTTCCGAAAGAGCTCATAATCACCTGATAACACTGTGCACTTGCTTCTTGTCCAATTCGAATAAGGTGGAAAGTTTTTCAAGTGATACTGTTGTATATACGGTGGAATACATCAGCAGATATGTTCTGAAATAAGAATACATCGTTTGGCTGCCCTATCAAATACGTAAGAAGCTAAGATAATGCTAGAGAATAAAAACAAGATATATCAAAACTTGGCAGTTTTTGCTCAAAAAATGGAATTAACCTCAGCGATTCCGTCTGTATACGCTTGACTACCATTTCCTTCACACTTTCTGAGTTGCGGAACAAGTTCCACACCTGAAATACTTCTCATATGAGAAATTATGGAAGCCAAATCACTTTAACAATTTGTTTGATACGATGCTAGACATCACAGCAATTTACGGTATATGACCAATCTGTGGAGCAATCACTCTACTTAGAAAATTTAAGCAAAAGTTTTCTAAGTACCTTCTGATTCATTTTATCGTTGACTATGTAGTCACGGCATTTCTTCCAATCACCAGCGAGCATCGCACGAGAAGCAGCAACAACATGCTCTCGAGTGTTTTCAGGAGGACCGATCAGGGACGACTAAAGTACGAGGTGATGTTTTTTCTTTTTCCTTGTTTCTAAGTCAGAATAAAAGAAATATGAGTAAATCTGATAGCATAGTACACGAGAAAGCAATGAAAGCAAAGCCTAATGTTATAAAATAGCTGTGTTGTAAATGCAGAAACACTCCGATAATAGTGAGTGCATGCTATTATAAATTGACTTATAAAAAAGAATAATAATAATAAGTAAGTAAAAAATGTGACTGAAATCCTGATTCGATGGAACAATAGCCCTTGAGAGAAAGAATTTGAGAAGATTGATGTAATAATGAGTGGTGGTGCACAAAACTACTATAACAAGTGATAATGATTACCTTCTCACTCTGCTTCAGTTGATAATGGAAACTTCGGCTAAGTAGTCGCCGACGCATTTCGAACTCGCAACTAGCCATATGAGGAATTTCAAGTAACATAGAGCAAATCAGGTAAACGCATTCCATCAACTCAACATTGATATGCATGTGATATGGAATCTGCCGTTGACGTTCAAGCTTCTCCTAAATGAAAGGATTAAGACAGCCTGCTTTACATATTCATTTTCGCTCGAGTTTCGCCATAATCACTGTTTTTTTTTTTTTCGAAAATGGTGTCGTAGTGAGCCAAACGATTCTCGAAGTTGGTGAATTAACGACATAGAGCTGAATAAAGCGTTTTGCCTGTTCTGCAGCAAGACCAATAGATAGCAAACTATAGGAAACCAAATAAAATATCCTTTGTTCCCAAGGAAACGTGAGGATTATCCTGAACCTCTCCAGCTTTTTCGGGGTGAATACTTCCAAATTATGTGCTCATTACTCAAATTAATACAAAGAATAGCCTCTACCTGTTCAGCTGTTCTCTCGTGCTGCCTCATGGCTACAGCTTGAGCGAGCAACTCTTTAGCCCGTTGTGTGTTCTGAATCTCAGACAATCCTTGGTGAGCTTCCTTGATGAAACCATGTCGGAATGCACAAAGTCCCAGTTGACAAATTGTACGATTGTAAAGAATCTATAACAGTTCGCAGTTATGTCCGGTTAATTTGGAAACTTTAGTGACAGAACTCGGCTTCGATCAAGGCTGGGAAGGTACCTGTGTATCTGTGTCGGAATGATCAACAATGGCCTGCAAGTGACTCATGAGCATGAGATCCCTTGCTCGGTGCCATTCATCGTGCAATGCCAACCAGTACACGTGACAAAGCATAGCTCTCTGTCTTAGTCGCTTTTCCTCATCAAGAGCGTAAATCTTCTTGCAGAGGCGATCCATAATTTCTCCTACAGGTTCATCGCCTTCGTAATTGTCTTGGTACTGGAAACAACAACGACATATGGAGCAGTGATGACTTAATACGTAAGAATTTTCTACTTTTACAAACAAGATCCTCACCTTGTAGTAAAGGTGCTCTATTCTAGTCATGTACACCTTGCAAACTTCATCTACATCGAATATATCCTCATGGATACGCTCCTGTACGTATTTCTCGGTACGCTCGATCAACGTGCACATGTCTTTCTCACCTTTCAGCCTAAAATAAATCTCATGAAAGCAGAATTAAGGATTTTATATGATGGAGAAAATCTTTAGATGACAAGACACAAGAAGAAGAGGAAATGAAACTACGTCAATTACCCTCCACATTTAATGTTGCGAACTCACTCTTTCAAGTCACTACAAAGTAAAACTCTGCCGTCACAACTACTAACTATTAACTCTACCCCGACAGAGAGCTCTGTAGACATCCAGGAAGTTGATCACCACGGTAACATAAAATGGAAGGGCAATAAACCGAGCAAAAAGAAGAGCTAACACGTCCTCAGGTTCAATACGTAACGTAAATAACCGCGTTTTCACAAAACACATTTTTTTGAATAGCAACGAACTTTTCAATGTAATCGTTTGAGTGACAATCGGCGTTCTGCAGAATCTTTGTCAGTTCACTGTCTAAGCGCTGAACCGTCATCAGCAACGATCCCTGGATCTTGTATGGCACGGTATCATCCTTAAAAACGGGGAATCACATATCTGTGCATGGAGAAAGGTCGCTATTCTAAAAATAATCAACTTCAAACTCAGTACCTTCAAGTTTTCTTCCTCTTCGGTGAATTTGACCGAAAGCTTGACTTCAGGGTGTAGAATCAGAATATCGAGGAGCTCTGTGACAGCGACAAGCGTCCTTAAACATTTGAACTGAACAAATTATTAATCGAATTTCAATAAGATTTCCTTGCTTCAACGAAAGAGTTAGGTGAAGTTATTCTTGCTCTCTTTCGGAATGGCAACTTTGGAAAAGAAGCAATTTTGACAACATCAGATATGAATAGGTTGCTACCGACCGAAGGAAATACAAAGAGAAGACGGTCATACCCGGCAACAAAGTGACACGCCGCAGCTTGTAAAGCAACAGTAGAATATCAGAAAGGATCAAATCGAGAACTCACTTGTTGAAGTTTGCAAATTCCATGAAATCACTAATCTTGGTATTGAGTTCGAACAGCGATGAAATAATATTGAAACAGAATCTTCACAGAAATTCCAACGCCTAATTTCTTCTGAAAAAATATCATTTGAAATTGAGGCAAAGTACCCAACTGCACAGACATCCATCAAGTTAAACCTTTGACGATGGACTCTGAACTGACCTCTTCAGCAATTTTGTACAGCTCCTTGCAAGAGACGGACATGCTGCTTTCTGTTCGTTCCAAGGCGCCCACGTGAAGCCATTACTTCAGTTAACTTGCTTATCATTGCCTACAACTCACAGCGATTATCCTTAATTTAAAAACTTGAAAAATCAATATGCGATCGCACTGTATTTGAAGACAAGAATACAAAACCCACTCACATGCGTCGCGTGAGACTTTCTTGTTTTGGGTCAAACCTGGACTTCGCTTCTCTTAGTCATCAGGGGTCGCATTCACCAGCCATCGTCTTTCTCGTCCCTCAACGAAGAATCAACAGCTGCCTATAAAAATTCAATGATTCGCTGTGAGCGAAGTGTTAACACCCAGTTGAAAAAATAAAGATAAACTAATAACAACGGCAATGCGAAGAATAGTTATGTGCTGAAAGAAAAAACTAGGCGAACTTTTGACATCACACTTCAACTGATTCTGCTCAGTTTCAGGCTATAGCTTCAAGCCTAGAGTCGAACTTCATACGATTTCCCCAAATTATATTTCAATTGCACATCGCTTGCTAACTATAGCAAACTGTTTCTGAGATCGTCCTACTGATCATCTTCTATCATTACCACCTTCAACTGTTGCAAGAAAGGGCTCTACAAAACAGAAAGAAAAAAAAAAACGAGTTATCCTCGTTGAACGCCATCTTAACAAATGAAAACAGAATTGCTAGAGCCTAATATCCCCGTTTATAGGGAAGTAGCTGTCAAGCACTCACTTTGGGCTTGTTCTGATCTCTTTGCTTCCGTTTCTTTTCCTTTTTCGTGTCTGCGGCACCATCTTCTTCACCTCGGAATTCTTTTCTAAAATCACATACCAATTCGATGAGCAGGTTTTCCATATAGGGGCCAATAAAAAAAAAGACATTTTGTCTCCACTTCCAGATGGATTTAAGCACATTTTGCTCAATTCAGACCGAATGGTTCCAACTTATTATTAAAGAGCGCATTCCATTCTAAGAAAATCTTTATGGTGGCCACCTACGTGGACGGCATCAGAAGAATTAGCCCTGGAAACATGGTGCACTGGTCGATCTCAATGGGGTCTTCGAAGGATCGTGTACCATAACGACCCTTACTGGAAAGCTAGTTCCGAGGGGATTTGCACAGTGGTAGCTAATGCCTCTAGAAAACTATCCAACATTAAATCGATTCACGAAATTGCGTAAGAGCTTCAGGCTGAAGCTCTTACGGTAGACCTCCTTGAGCCTGACGACGGTGACAGATGACGTCATATTCTGAAGACGGTGAGGGCAGTGAAGGAGGGCCTGCGTTCACTTATAGAGGGACACTTAGGGAATACTCTGCTGAGGAACTCCCGTCAACGACAGCAATCTCTGCGAAGAAAAAAGAGCCGAAGTCCGACATAGGCAAAATGTCTTTTTTTTTTGGCCCCCCCTGTATATACTGAACAGTCAGCCACAGAACATACAGTATATAAATAAGTAACAAGGTCAAAGGAATTTTTGTGAATTAATAGGAATTCGCCACGCCCTCAAGGCATTCCGTATAAATTCTATTGCTGACACCGGCTCCATTTTTATGGCAAGATTTATGTTTAAGATCAGATATGCCTCCCTAGTCTGCCCAACTTTGGCGGCAGCTTATGAAGTTAATCTTGAAAGAGCCCGACCCGATGTTTTTAATTGCATCCCCGAACAGACGGCAAAAACATATACTTCAGGAAGTGTCTCCTCAATGCTTCCATCTTCGAACCGAAATCTGCATCAACATCTGAGGCGCTTGAATCCGTGTCACTTGACCAATCTGAGTCGCTCTGAAGAAAAAAAAAAGGATAACGAAACAAAAATGACTACCCTCAGTTAGTTTGCGGTTAACGACCGCGACTAATTCGAAGAATAGGAAGAAGCTTCGAAACTAAAGCATCGAAAAGACACCTCGCTTTCACTAGTCATGACATCCTTCTTCTTTTCCTTTCCTGCGGGCGGCGGCAACAATATGAGCCCTCATTGCCCGATTCTTCCGCCTAAAACACATAAAGCAGTCATACCGAGAGATCAACTTGGAGATTGCAGTGGGCATCCAGAACCGAGCACAGCTACAACGTTAAGACGAAGATGTAAACATATTCAGACCTCTTCCTCTTCTTCTGGAGTTTCGTAGCCAGGCGGATCAGGGCTTTCGCGATACTCTGCTATCTTCTGCTCGAATTCTTTCACATATTTCCGAACTTTCTGCCGCAAATTTGTGAGAGCTTTCAGGTTCACCTTGGACAACGCCTAAAACGATATCGTGACCACGGCTAAAACACGACAACTAATAGATCAGAATATAAAAAGAGGCTTACAGTTTTGGCTTCTTTGTTTTCCCAGAAGTTAGCTACGTAATCTTCTAAGTCGACCATATACCTTAACAAGAGAAAATCGTTAGACCACAACGAAACAATAGAAAAATTTTTGTTTTTTTTTCAGACATTTGTTTACTTAAAGCCCGTGTGAAATGGATAGAAAGCCCAAGGATTGTGACCGCATCGTACTCTGTACATTCTTAATAGACACCGTTCAGGCACATCCGAAGGCTGCCTATCAACTTGCAGTTGTTCAAAAAAGAACAGAGATGTAATAAAACCTTATGTAGAAGCGTGGCGTCGAAATATTCTGCCGGGCGAACACCGTTTTTGATTTGTCATACGCCTTACATAAATCGTCGAACACTAAACAAAAGAAGAGTAAGAATTGATCCAGTTCAACCAATTGAAATAAATTAACACAAACCTGAAAGGATTTTTGTGAAATCTTTGTTGTTTTTGCCATTATTGATTTGTTTGATGTGGTCTTTGAGCTCTTTAAACTTCTTCTCTTTATGAGTACGCACTACGCGTTTCTCTTCGTCTTCACTGTCACTGGGATAGGCGAAATCACGAGCACTGAAACAAAATCGTGCACGGAGGAATTGTTCAATCAACGACCAATTGAAATAATTGCACGTTCAGAGTGCATGAGGGAAGAAACCACTGCAGAGAAGGGTGAGAAACGGGCAGACAACTTCTTTAACTGTGGGTAAACGGATAAAGCAATGAAAGCTGCTTTGGACCTGCAAAGGCAATTAGAGGTGGACGTTCATGGCAACCTAAGAGACTATAAATCCAAGATAGACGCATTATGGATATGTGGAGCAATTTTTCATGAACCAGGCTCAGCATTCTATATAGTGCAATAAAAATTGAGAGACTACTTATTTAGGTTCCATGCAATTGAGCGTAATGTGTCTTCGACAGGAGGGGGCAGGGTCGGTCCTATCGTTGTTACTTTCTCAAGAATTTTTACGACCCCTTCCCTCCTCCCCACTCCAAGGTGGACTTGATACGACCCCCTTTTCGACACCTCGACCCACCATCATCCTATCTATAGTATTTAATTCTGGTACCACTCAACCCACCAAACTCCGCCCACTTTTCTCCTCCAAAATGCCGTCGAGCGGGGGGTATATAGCTACCCTGAAACAGCAATTTTTTTTCTGCGCCCCTTAACTCACCCAGCCTACTACTCTAGTAAAACTTCACTGCTTAGTTCTAGAACCATCCCAGAAAGTGCCCCCTCTCCACATTAGGCCATCAATTTGAAACATGAACCCATAGCAAGCACATACACAACCAACAAGAAAAAAACTCACAGTGGCCTTTCTTCTTGGTCGGTACCTCCTCCTCAACATCAGAAACGTCGGATTCTGACGACGACTCAGAGCTGACAGCTCCTTTGAAGAATTTAGACATCTTGTAAGCACGAAGGGCAAGCCGCCAATGTATTCACCCAATGAGCTGTTCTGAAAATGTAAGTTTCAAAATGCAACAACCCAAAAAAGTAGGTGGGCAAACGATGTTTACAGAGCAATGACGCATTAACAAAACGATCCTTAACGAGAGAAAATAAAGAACCCTCGCAAAAGTAACGTGACGGGGGGGGGGGGGGGGGAGGCAATCGGGCTTTTGAATTGAGCATAAAGCGATGTAAGCGTGGATCAATTAAGAATCGGCTACGGACCTTCGTGATATTTTGCAAAACGCGGACCCATAGATGTTTACTATGGATAGTCCTTGCATGACCAGAATGTTATTAAGTTCAGTGCGTTTGATAACGAAAATTTTTTTTTTTTTTTTTTTTTTTTTTTTTCTAATTGATACGGCCAAAAAGATATTAACGTATTGAAGCAATGAAGCAGTACAAAATCCCAAACCACAGCTGAACACGTTATGAAATCCCCAAGCGGCGAGACGGGATGGGAATTCTGCAAAATTACGGTAAGCAGATATTACGTCGCATACACTCTGTTCTATACGGTTGAAAACCGAAAATTTATATAAATGACAAAAGGGTCGCGAGCGCGATGAGTGGTACGAATGGTAATCGTTACAATACGTACATTTTAAGGAGAGTCATGTGGTGCAGATCTTCGTGCTTCCTACTGTAATCTCAATTTTTGTTCAAGAGGGGTTCGGGATGCGTGGGGAGGTGGGCGCGATGTGGTTCACGAATTCCTCCCACTGCAAAAATTAGAGTTTTTGCGGTCAACGCGGACTGCTGCACCCCTCCCCTTTGGAATACACCGAAGAACATCGAATAATGAATGAACTGCATTCAAGAAGCGGTAATGGAAGTTGACGCACTTATTTCCGCACGAGACTACGTAGCGCAGCGATGAGCGTGTTTTGAACACATACAAATCAAGAATTATAAACAATACAGCACCTTCTCTCCTTACCCAGCTGTAGGCATAAGCGGAGACAGACTCAGTGCCAAACTGCCTGTATGAGATGAATTCAC